AAATATTTTCCAAATTCTGGGCATGCATTCAGATGCTTGATGATGATTCTCCTGAAATTAACGCTACACTCAGCGCGTACATTTTGGACGCTACTATGTGTATGTAAATTACCTAGAAGGTTGGTTTTCCTGAGGGTTATCTAATCTTGTAGCAACCACTTGATTAGATAGGCATCGATCAATTATTGATTGATTTTGGCTTGTGGGGACTACCCCCGATGGCAACGACCTTCAGAAGGAGTTTGCTAATGAGGGCGGTCATCGGATTTGGAAAATCACTTGCAGTAGTGTAAATTCAATGGTAAATTCCCTTTCACACAGATATCCATGTCTCAAGATACGGGAGGATAGGCGCTATCATAAGATACAGGGTGCACCCATTGGGATTGACAACAAGCCTAGGAGTGGGCAGGAACTCCGAGAAAAGTGAGTATTGCTCACCCATCATGGAGTCTCTACTCCTCTGCCTGAAGCTTAGTTCCTTTTCAACAAAAGGAAATGTTTTACGGATTTCTAGTGGATTGCCGCCACAATGCCCCCAGATCTTGTGATAGCGCCTGCAAAAACTGTCCAGATAGGGTCCAAAATACGCATCGTAACTTACCGATTCAGAAAATAAACTAGAAAAATCATAAAAATTAGAAGTGGCCGTAGAAATGGCAGATTGTTTTGAAAAACGGGCAAAGGTGACCAGCTTCCTGTTTTGGGTAATTTTTGACATTAATCACAAGAAATTTGTACAAGGGAGGACATTTTTCTCTGAATCATCTATAGAATCTGCCTTTTCTCTGATTCTTTCACTCTGAATGAATTCGTGCTAGTTTTTATTGCAATTGACTGATCTAGCGACCCATAAATTCGTTTTTTGCTCATTTCCCATCCGATTCACATCGGCTCAACCCGAATTTTTCGACCCCTCCACTATTTTCTTCCCGTCCGATTCCTATCGGCTCAACCCGAATTTTTCGACCCCTCCGCTATTTCTTCGCCTTGGTTCATCTGCAAACTCGGTGCATGTGGTTCTGATCCCGCAAAGCACAGCAGTGTACATCTTTGTTTGATCAATTGACGTCATACCTAAGCAAAACAACGGGATTCAGTCTGTCATCACTGGTCCAACGACGCACGGTATTTACGATGGTCTGTAATCTGAACGACCTCGCCTGCCGCAAAATACACCCCTAAATTTTAGCCATCACCAGCAAACCCAACTTTCGCTTTTTTGCCACTCCTGGCCTATTCAATTAACATCCCGCTGCATTGTCTTCTTTTTGTTCATTAGAAGTGAGAAATGTCCGCAAATTTTTGATTTCTTACGAAAAAAAGGAACTATTGATTGAAAGGATCGTCACATCGTCACCGTGCCCATTCTTCCTCGCTCGTCAAACCTACAGGGTGGTCCGAAATTATGAGGAACCAAGGCATACTTGTTCCGTTAAAAGCGCACAGAAGCTTGATGGCACTAAGCCTAAACCTTGAGGAAGTGTTTAGCACACCCTCTCATCTCAAAGCAATCCAGAACTATAACTGAATTGTGACATACGCCACGCAGCCCCGTTTCACCGCAAGCCTTCCAATATGAAGCGCGGAATCGCGTCCCGGTGGCAGCGCAAACGGAGGCCGTGTTAAAATGTCTTGCCAGGGCTCTTCCTGCCTTGCTTCCCCAGGGAATCTAAAAGTTTTGTGGGGCCGTCGTATTTCGCCCCTTTGCCTCTAAAAGTGTAAAACTCACAGAAATCGCAGTGTATTAGGTGGAGTTCCATCATTCTTCGAAAGCAACGAACTCGAAAAATCGCTTTTTAGAGAATTTTTGCTTTATTCTTGGGTGCTCGGTCCTGTAAGAAGTCCCAAGTAGACTACTCGTGTGGCTTTCTATCCACTACAGATGTGGAGTCTTTAGAGTGTCTGGCTGGGTTTTCACATCAATTTTTTCATTTTGGGAGTACGAAAGTCGACAAGGGTGATAATTGTCCTGGTGCGTACTTGCAGCTTTCGTGTCTCAGAATTTTCCATCATTGGTGAATCCAACCATATTGAAGAGTTGACTGTTGCCTATAAGAGCTTCTCCTGATACGTTAGACTGCCGCTAGATGTAACGTGCCAGAGCCCTTAGTGAGTTCAATTTGAGGACTGACGTAAGGAGATGTTGTTATTTCACTAGTTTTGAGAACTGCATGAAATTTGGTTTCATTAGGAAGAAGACATTGTACCCTCTCACATAGTGCACAGAAAAGGAGATGAAAATGGAGCGACTCGGAAAAAAGTGGATATGACCGCGCGCGCACGCGGTCCTCATAATTTTGGCCCCCTTTATACACACCCCTGGATTACATTTAAATCAGGAACAGATGGGAGGTTGCACCTAACTTCACAAGGCCAGGGTGCCCTCGTCGAGAGATTTCTATCAAGTATGCCATGACAATATTTTGCTTGCCATGCGGTGTCGATGGGTTAGATTGCATCGTCATTTTTCTGAGTCACCAACTAGGCTCGGTGCTAATCAGCTAATCTAGAATGTATTTGAGTGCTGGCTAAAGCCATAAGCTCAGACCGAAAGCATCCGCAAGGAAACCTCGACGAGGAAGTCGATCCTGAAAATTATTACCTTCCCAACTTCAACCCTGTTTCGAGCAAGATGCTCACACATTTTGGAAAACTTTGGTCGGTTGCCGTATTGTGAACCTTTCACGAGCTGTGAGAAATAAGAATAAGCATAAGTCATTTAGCGTCTAAAAGTTAACAGACTAGGAAGTCTGCGTCTGTGAGCTGAGCTTCTTTTTAATTACTTGTCAGTGTGAAGCATTCCAGCTGTGGTAGACATCTATTTTGTGATTGAAAACATGTTGTTTTGAACGCGTAGATCTTTTCTTTTCCTCAGTGGAAATGAAGCATCGCTGATTTCCCACCTATCACGTCCGCTTAATGAATCATGATGCACATCGTCCAGCACCCTCACGGGTCTACCTACTATGTAGGTATATTTTCCCTTCCTCGCCAACCTTATCGTGGAATCTTCTTGGATCACAACAGCGCCTGGGTTTCAAAGATTCGAGCTTTGTTCCCTTCAACAGGGGATGCAATCCATCGCATTGATCAGAACTAGGAATATTCTATTCAATTAACAACATCCTCAGTTGTTTTGTCTATGGGCATTGCTGGTTTCTGCTGGGCTGTCGTAATCGCTGCCAAAAACGTTTCGACTTTTTGTAGAATTCCAACACGTGGCGCATCCCTTAGAAAATTACATCATCAGCTGTATTTATGACATTTTTGCACAGCCAATATATTAATGGAACTTTTTCATGAAACAGTGAGATGAGCTGCCTACATTGCTCGGCCATCTTGAGATCGCCATGCAGCCGCTCACACATTCACAGTCGTGAAGTATTAGCAAGTTTACCTTTGACCATGTACAACGAAAAGGGCATGGCAGCCGCATAAATCTTCGCTCAGCTACGCAAATTCTGCGCATTTTCTCTCTGAAATTCGATTTGTAAATGGAGAACGCGAGTATTCTGGTTGCTCAAGGCGCATCTTGGCTTTAATCGCCGACGCACCTCATCTGTGCAACCATCGTTCTTCCGCTTTATTTAACGGTCATCAATGTCCGCCAAAAAATTGTGTTTCTTGGTTCTTGGCTTAGCTGGACGTGCTTACACTTTTCATCTAGGTTGCTGTGATAACGGATATACATACTGTAGATTCATCGTATTATTGATGTGGTGAAGAATAGGACACTACAGTACTGTAGTCGCTTTAGGTTACCCCTAGGATTTCCTTCAGACAGGACTGTACGAGGGCTCCTTCTAGGCGAGGCCAATGCCATCCTTTCTATGTACTGCAAGTCTTGCAGAAATTTGCTCAAGGCTGTTGTTGCCTGTGCACCCATTGGCTTTTTTTGAAAACAGTACAGGTCGTGTGTACCAAAATGGCATGGCAATGCTCCAACTGACTCTTTTCAAACGATCGCAGCGATTACGATAGGTTCAAGAAGGGTTTAGAGAGACGTGGTGGTGCTCAATGGTACGCCAGTGGCGAAAAAAGCAGAGAAATCCGTCAAGAAAACGCAAAACGGGACCCCTTTTTGGCCGTTGGTTTTCACTCATGAACAGGTAACAGCTCAGAAAGCGGACGTATGAACGAGTTCAGCGCAACGCGTTTGGTGACACCATGCCAAACCACGCTCCAATCGAGTTGCTCCAGTTGTGCCGCTGCTGGCAACGCAGCTCGTCCAAATCACCAACTAAACTAGTGGGCGGATCGCTTTTGGGGGCGGAGTGCTTTCGAAGTCCTGCTCAGCAACCAGCGCACCTTTCGTCGTGAAAGCGCTACACCTCGCTTCCCTGGCAGCCAAGTAACTGATTCGTGTGGTGCATATGCTTCCCCGATGCGCTCCCACTATCGTAATCGCTGCCTTTAACTCGAATGCGATTGTTTTGTTCCTTTTCCATATTTTTACTTATTAAGTCTGATTGGACGTCCTTCCGTCCTTGAAAATCATTCCAATCGTTTTATGTGGGCTCATAAATACGTTAACTTCTAGATATTTTTCTATTTGATTATTTTTTGATTTGCTCTGTAGGAGCTCGGTCATAGCCTTCTGCGGTTAATTCCAATTTCCAACATCATACATAATGAACCGTGATCATATAAAAATAAGACATAATGCTTTAGTAACAAATTTTATGGAAAAGAAAATCGAAATCAATCAATAAATTTCGGCATCCGAGGAATGCTGTCAGTGGACGGTTTCATTTTGAAACCGATCTGCTTGTTAATGACTGAATCACTGTGGTGATCGGCACAGCCACATCACAGCTGTGTTTCATTTCTTCTGTCTTTCTGCTGACGTCGACACTGCTTCTTCTCTTTTCCAGTTTCACGGACCGATTATCGATCACATTCATTTCAGTCAACTTCGTTCACCACGATTCGTCGAGCCAGACGGTGCACAACCTCGTGGTCTTCATCCCTACACACCGCCGCCAATATTGAGTCCGATGCGTAACGGTTCAGGATTGTTCTGGCAAATCGCCAAGAACGCTTGGACCAGGTCAGGTGGAGATGCTCCTAACTAACTCCTGAGGTTACTAGGTAAAAATAAATTAATGTGTCTATCCATTTTTTGTCAGTTGACCGCTCTTAACTCAGTAATTCGAAATATATTAGTACTAAATAAGAACATGAATAAAAATAAAAATTAATATTGATATAAATCTTTCAAATGTGAGTTCCTTTTCAACAAATTCTTGAATGATCTTTGACTGACATTCCAGGCTGCCTCCGTCTTCATGCAGAGATGCGCAGAACGGTCATGCGTCAGGTACGTGTGCAGTCTCTCCATAGCTCTCATCGTCCTTCGGACGAGCTGGCTTTCGATTTCCGATTTCCGGGTTCCGACCATTCTTAGGCTTGAAGAATGGCAATTTCAGTGATGTGGGTGGTTATATCTTTTTCCTGATGGCCAGGTCCCGAACAATAATTGTGCTTGTGAATACTGATGTTCGTATTTTGCGAACTGCACTTCTTCGCCATTTGAACATAATGTAGCCAAGTCTCAAAACCGCGTTCACTTCTGCTGCTTCGGCGCATGTATTTGGCTTGTAGCTAACTGGTCCTTGTTGTAGATCGGTATCTGTTCATACCTTTAAGTCAGAGCTTATAAGTCACTAAAACCTGAGTAATTTTTTAAGAACAAGCACTTATAAAAGACTAGCATCAAAACAAATAAATAAATGAAAACAGACGTAGAAAATGAAATAAAGATGTTCAAAAGAATCGAGTGATTACGACAATAAAACAACATTTTTGACAATCTTCAATGTTTGTTTAATTAGGCATATCTTTCCGTTCGGTTATGTGACCAGAATCTTCGCTCTCTTTTTTCGTCGAAACTTGCACTCTACGGGCGAGATTATCTTCCGGGAACAGCGGCGCCGTCGTATGCAGCAATTTAGCGCCAGGCCGTATTGCGAGCGTTCAATATGACACTTTCATTCCCGAAGGCACACATCAGCCCTCTCAGTTCTTATGTAATACCAATAAATTCTTGTTTTATTTCGGCTGAAAATAGCGGTCCCATCAAACATAATTTGATCGTATGGATGCTGTGGCCATAGAAACGGGATGTTTTCTTCAATGGGTCTTTTTATTTCCCAGTCGGGTCCGTAGGTCGTCAAGAATTACTAGTTACCCCCATTTCAAATTTGCAGCGCTAGCTGAATTTTGCACCTTATCAACTCCATTCATGACTAAAAACCGCTGCAAATATTCTGAGCGCAGCCAGGGCCCGCCCGATAAGGCAACTTCTCTACCGCCACCACGAGTTCTCGCCTCCTTTGAGATGGAAAATGAAGTGGGCAGCCTCAGCTGCCTTCTTGAAGGCAGCGTCCTCTAGCTCACTGTTTGCGCAGAAGATCAAGAGATGAGCGTCGATTCGCCTGGCCTGCGAATTGTCGACGAAGGAGCTGGACCGAGCGACACGAACAGTACGGATGTCACTGCAACGACCCTCCACCGAGGTAGTGCATCCTGCGCGAAAAAACGGCTTCATTTGTAGTCAGGTACGGTAACAGATAAAATCAATCGATATGCAACAGGACTGTCTTTTTTTTCAGGCCACATTCGCTGATGAACTCGAGGCGCTACGTAAGATTTCATGGGCGTCAACGTCGTCGTCAACAAGGTTAATCGATTTTTATTATTGATTTTTTGCGCTCGAATAACGTGTTGACCGTACATTTCTGCAGATCAGCTGAGGAAATTCTCCGAAAACATTCAATGGATCCGGATGAGTATCTTCGCAAAGCATCATGCATATCGGACTGTTACTACGATCTTCCGATCGATACGAGGCCTAAAATGAGCGATGCCTCGTTCGTACAGTATTGATGTACATAATTTTGGATATCCTAACGGAAATCGATATATCGATTTTTGTCACAGGCACATCAACATTGGTCGAGAATATCAGGCTCGCGTACGAAAATGGAACGATCGAAAGGTGAGCTTTTTTAATCTTTTCTCTTCTTCGCAAGTTTTTGTTTATTTAAGCATAATATACATCATTTTTCCACGCTTGATAAAGTTCTTACATCTCATCTTTAATTCCATAGTTATTTCTATATATTTCGTAATTTCTACGATATTTCTTCAAAATGACAAGTTACTATGCGCATTTTGAACCCTATTTGAATATTATTCCCAGAATTTCTGGCTTATGGGGAATCTACCTTGCGCCCATGAGGGAATCATATCCTCACCTCTGGCACCCCCTTGCCTAAGGAACCGCTTCATCTTAGCCCAGCTTTTGATTCTTCCCCTTTGACCCATAACGGACGGCGTGCGCCACATGGTGGCGCACGATTATTTCTTTTGTTTTTGGAATGTTTCTAGCAATCTTAATATACCCGTATATACTCTCAGCAATGTGGAATAACATATCTTCCCAGGACCTGGACGACTGGATTTTTGACAAACCTACAATAAATTTTGACAAACCTACAATAAATTTTACATACATTTTGTCTTAATTTACATAAGTTTACTATTTGATGGGTGGCTTACCCATGGTTCGCACGTCCCGAGACCCTTCCCCTAAATATAGCCACATCCTTGCTCGGGGTTGTTGTTTCGCATTTTTCGATAATGTCACCTACAGCTTCCATTCATTCTTTGCACCCTAGTTTTAGAGCGGAAAGGCGGGCTACGAACTTGTCGTCAACGGAAATCTCTTCTTTTGGATGATGAGACTCCGACACCTACTTTAGCCCCGTCTTACCCCTGCTGTTCACATAAGCCTACATAAACCCTACCCTGGGTGGCGGCGTGCGCCACATGGTGGCGCACGCGAAAAATACACTGGCCGTCCGTTATGGGTTAAAAAGGCGAAATTATAATGGATTGAATTTTAGTTTTTTTTTTGATCAACAATGAAAATATAACACAGTAGGGAGAGATTAAGTGAGTCATATCTTCTTCTTCCTTACCAGCTTTCTACCATGGACTATTTTTCGGAATATTTTTAGATTCATTTCTCATCCGTCTGGCTTTCTCTTTTGCCACTTATTGAACTTTGTGTAGATCATCCGCTGCCAGGAGCTGAAATAAGGGTCAGAAATGAAATGCGTATCGATTTTCTTTTCATTCGCTTCATGAAATTTGTTTAATTAATTTGTTTGTTCGCTGCATTCAAAGAGCGCAGTAAAGAATGGGTTCATGCAAATCACGGCAGCACTCGATTTTGTGAGTAGAACCGTAGCAGGCTCAGAAAAATATAATACGAATAAGGAAAATGTTTGCCTTTGGTAATTTGGAAGCTAGGTGGGTCAACATGTTTGTTCCGCATTTTTGCAGATTTTCACCAATATTACCTGCTGTCGTTGTGAATTTTAGATTTTTATACCTTGTTGAATGCCCATATCCACCTTCTTCTGTCAGCTTATATTCAAGTTCGTTGACCTTCTTTTCGCATCTAGTGGACCGTTGTGTGTGACCATCTGAGCTCGCAACGTTTTTATAAAAAAATTCTTTTTTTTTTTTCCTTTCGTTTTTCTCGCTCTCGTAGCTTCGTAGCGTTTTTGAAGGACTCTCCACAGCAAAACAAAACGTGCAGGGATAACTGGACAAAAAAGTGCACTTAGCGCAAGCAGATTTTTGCGCTCTTTCCCAGAAGTGAGCGCGATCCCCTTGTGCTTCTCCTCGTCCATTTAGCTGCTACAAGTGAAATATGCAACTCACTAAATATTATAACATCTAATGGCAAAACATATAATTTTATAACTTGTCATTCCTGCTTCTTACAGTGGCAGGAGCTAAACAGGGAAGAGTGAGGCGATTGTGACATGAATAAGGAATTAATCAGTTTGTCATTACTATTTTATCAGTTAATGAGTTCGAAAAATCATGGTATCAAATGGAACTTGAATATCAGAAAACGTAATAAACACTTCTAGATCAACGAATCTGAAAAGGGAACGCTGGCGGGTGTTCATTAAATAGAAGTGATAAAATTCAAACTAACGATAAGTAAACGGCAACTGAGAGTTTCAGTAGGTTAATTTTTTCAGCACGCCCACACATTCCCCGCATGAAGGTATTCCTTGGAAAATGTCACCAAATTTAGAGGTAGGCCCCAATAGGGAGAAGCCTGGCTCTACTTCAAACTCTGGGAAAAGAGGGTTCATATTCATGTTCACAGCTTTAAAAAAGCAGTGGCTAATTGTCCTCCCAAATCAACGAGAGACCCTGCTGAATTTCAGAAATTGTGAAACTCATGGTTCTTTCTTGCAGAGAAGAGAGCCAACCTTCAGAGTCAACCGTTCCCTTGGTAATTCTGACGAGGAGGAGTTTTAGGGAGGGAGAGGAGGAGTCCATCTTTGTACCCACTTAGGTGAATGGGCATAGCGTAAACTTCGCTCAAAAATAGTTACGGTAAAAACAAAAGACTTTCCGAGACTCAGTTAAAAAGTGTAAGGCACTTCTCAAGTAGTACTTTATATAGTTTGATTCAGTTTTATGTAACTCGCAAATCTCCGGAATACGGTATATAGACAGGTACTGTATTTTAATGAAATCACGGTAGAATGCTGTTAGTTTCAGATTCATGAGTCAGAGCTCGAAGCCATTGAGGATCGTGACGAGATGGTGTTTTCACCGGACGTGCTGCGCGATATCGAAAAAGACCAGAGTTAGTGTTATCGATTTTATTGATTTTCAGCCATAGTACAGATCCTCAAGAAATCATGTTTAGTTGAAGCGTTCGAGCTGTTGGCATGCAGCCAAGCAATACCGAGACCTGGCAAAAATAAGGTCAGCTCAACAATGCTTTCCATAAAGTATTTAGGTTCTGAAGTATCGATTTCTAATTTCTTACTTCAGGAATTAGCGTTGCACTTGCTGATGGAGAATAAGGGCAATATTGAAGCAGCTGTTGCGGATTTGTTGCGCTCTGATACCTTGGACTGGGAACAGTATCAGGTGATCTACGGCTCAAATTATGTGGACTCGGCCGGCTGGACCCCTGAGGAAGTGAATGCGTTCCAAGATGCCATCTACAAAACCGAAAAAGATTTTCATCAAGTTGCGCAAGAGGTAAGGCAGCATACTGTAGGC